ACCTGTCACATCCCAGCCTAAAAAGAACTCCCTGGGGATGATTTGGCAGCTCCAGCCCCAAATCCTGTATTTAAAGGTAATCTGGGGCTTCCCTGGTGGCGCAGTGGTTGAGAGTCCGCCTGCCGATGCAGGGGACGCGGGTTCGTGCCCCGGTCCGGGAAGATCCCACATGCCGCGGAGCGGCTGGGCCTGTGAGCCACGGCCGCTGAGCCTGCGCGTCCGGAGCCTGTGCTCCGCAACGGGAGAGGCCACAGCAGTGAGAGGCCCGCATACCGCAAAAAGAATATAAAATAAAGGTAATCTGGACATTTTCAATCTGCCGACTAGAATCCTCTCTACCCTACTGCCCTGCTTACCAGTCTGTGTCAGAATGTGGAATACACGAGGGCAAGGCTTGCATCTCTTTCACCGTTGTCTTCCCAGTGTCTGGCCTGGCACCCAGAGTGCTCATAAATATTTGACAAATACATGTCCTCACCCACTCGTGCCTGGCATGTTTGCCCTGCTTCCTAACTGGTCCTTCAAGCCATTCTTCATGTTGTAGCCATAGCCAGGCAATCAGTCAACACATTTTTATTAATTTTTTACTATATTTCAGACATATTCTAAGCAATAGGGATTATTATGGGCTGAATTATGTCTCCCCCACCCTGGAAAAAGTTCATATGTTGAAGTTCTAAGCGCCAGTGCCTCCGAAAGTGATATTTAGAAATAAGTTCTTTTTTTTTTTTTTTTTTGGCCACACGGCCTGCAGGATCTTAGTCCCCCAACCAGGGATCAAACCTGCACCCCCTGCAGTAAAAGGGCAGAGTCTTAACCACTGGGCTGCCAGGGAAGCCCTGGAGATAAGGTCTTTACGGAGGTGATTAAAGTAAAGTGAGATCGCTAAGGGTGGGCCCTAAACCAGTAGGGCTGGTGTCATTATAAGAAGAGGAAGTTGGACAGGGACTTAACACGGAGGGAAGGCAACGTGAAGACCCTGGGAGAAGATGGTCACCAACAAGCCAGAGAGAGGGGCCTGGAATGGATCCTTCCCTCTCAGCCCTCCAAGCAGGGGTCCCCAACCCCAAGGCCACGGACTGGTACCGGTCCATGGCCCGTTAGGAACCGGGCCACACAGCAGGAGATGAGTGGCGGGCGAGTGAGCGAAGCTTCATCTGTATTTACAGCCGCTCCCCATCGCTCGCATTTCCGCCTGAGCTCCACCTCCTGTCAGCATTATGGTGAGTTGTATAATTATTTCATTATATATTACAACATCATAATAATAGAAATAAAGTGCACAATAAACGTAATGTGCTTGAATCATCCCGAAGCCATCCCCTCCTCCCACCGTCTGTGGAAAAATTGTCTTCCACGAAACTGGTCCCTGGTGCCAGAATGGTTGGGGACCACCGCGCCAAGGAACTGACCCTGCCAGCACCTTGATCACACATATTTAACCTCCAGAACTGAGAAAATACATTTCTGTTGTTTAAGCCACTCAGTCTGTGGTACTTTGTTACTGCAGCTCTAGGAAATTAATACAGGGATATAACAGAACAAAAAGACAAGGCCCCTATCCTAGCTTATGTCCTAGGTGAGGGAGACAGACAATACGTTTTAAAATTTCAGGATCAAGAAAGGACGATGTGAAAGTGAGCCAGGGGTGTGCGGGCATATCCTTGAGTGTAGAGGAGGAAGGCTTCTGTGCAGGAGACCTGAGCCAGGGAGCAGTCATCCATGTGAGGCACTGGGGTGGTGCAGGGGACTCCCGGGGTGGGGTGCAACGCAGAGGCCCTAAGTGGGAACAGGAAAAGGCCAGAGTCGCTGGAGTGCAGTAGGCCAGGGGAAGAGGGTGGCAGTTGAAATGAAAGTGAGAGGTAGTCAGGGGCCAGTCATGGAAGGCCTGGAAGGCATGGAGTCTGGATTTTACTCTGAGCGCAGTGAAAACTACTGGAAGACTGTAATCATGGGTGTGATAGTAGTGGATTTATGTTGCAAAAAGATCACTCTGGTGCCTGTGTGGCGTCCCCGAGGGCAAGCAGGGAAGCCCTGAAGGAAGCAGCTATAGCATCCGAGCAAGAGATGGAAACATGAAGCTGATGGTGTCCCTTCTCCACTTACACTCCCTGGGCGTCCCACCCACCCCCAGCCCTGCCCTCCAGGTCCTCAGGTTTCTGTGTGTGTCTGCCCGCCTGAGCCACCTGCGTCCCTGCCTTGAAGATCTTCCTTTGGAGGCCTTGTGGAGCCTTGTCCAGGAGGTGCTGCATCTGGGGAGAAGACCAAACCATGAAAAAACGAGTGGATTAATCCGAAGGTTCTACACTAGAAGGGCCTTTAGATAGATGGCCGACCCGTTTCACTTGAGACCCAAAGAGGAGATCCTTATGGGGACACAAAATTTAGTGGTCAAAGAGGCACAGGAGAGAGGAACTCACTAGGCCATGTTCACAGCATCCTTCTGAAACACAATTCCAACTACCCCACTCCCAGGCTGCAACCCCCGACTGGCTTCCTGTCCCGAGCAGCGGTGACCATGTTCAGTGAGGCCTTTGGGCCTTGTTTCAGACTGAATTGCGTCACCCCCACCGCGTGTTAAAGCCTTAACCCCCAATGCGACTTATTTGGAGGTGGGGCCTTTAAGGAGGTAATTAAGGTTAAATGAGGTCATAAGTGTGAGGCCTTAACCCAATATTACTGGTGTCCTTATGAAAAGAGGAGGAGACACCAAGGGTGTGTGTGAACAGAGAAAAGGCCTTGTGAGGCCGCAGCTGCCTGCAAACCAGGAAGAAAGTCTTCACCAGGAACCAACCCTGCTGGCACCTTGGTTTTGGACTTCCAGCTGCCAGGACTGTGAGAAGGCACTTTGTGTTGTTTACAGCACCCCGTCTGTGGTGCCCAAGCCGACTGATGCAGGGCCCAGCTTCTGAGCTGCCCAGTGCTCTTGTTAAATGCTCAGGCTCACAGACCCATCCGACCCCCTGCCGCAGAATCCCTGGGGGTCGGGGCCCGAGAATCCATGTTTTGAACAGGCTGCTGACGCTCACTGAAGTGTCTTCTCCATGAGCTCCTGAGGGCAGTGAAGACTGATCCCCCCAACCCTCCGGCCACTAGCTCCTCTGACCGCCAGCTTCCCTCTCTGTGCCCAAGAGGACTTCACATCTTATCTGGCCTCCAGGTTAACTAGTAAGCTCACTCTGTCGAGTTGCCCCCTTTCCTCACACTCTCCCTGAGCCCTCCACAAGCCAAGCCCGGGCAGGGCTGGGTGTGAAGTCTGGAAACCCAGAGATAAATCAGATCTGAGGCCTGTGACTGAGGCACTCGGGGTCCACGGTGTGAACTCCACACAGCTGTGATTAACCCCACCTCTGGCAGATGCGCTAGGAACTGCAGGAAGGGGAAATGAGTGACCTGGGAGTACAGGCAATGGTTTCAAGCTGCAGAACCCTGTAGGAATGGTTATTTGTTGTATTTCTGCCTAGCTGCAGTGCAAGCAAGTTGCGGGCAAGTGCCCTGTCCCCTCTACCCCCTTGGGGCTTCATAATGGACCTCAATGATTTGTGGGTTCATGGCCCTCTGGCTGCTTTCAGCTTTACTAGGAATGGCCCTCCTAGTGGCTGGGGTCAAAGTTTTAAAAACACAAGACCCAATCTGGCAGAACAGAGACATCCTTCAGAGTCCAGGAACCCTAGGTTCTGAGCCTAGTTTTCCCACTGACCACGTGTATGGCGTGACTTCAGACAATCCCGTTGTCTCTGAGTTTCCTCATCTGTAAAAGAAAAGAAGGATAATAATATTTACTCCACGAGTTTGTTTATAGAAGTAAACAAGCTAACCTCTGTAAAGCCCCCAATGTCTGGCTCTTAGTTGGCCTTCAGTAAAAGTTAACTTATAGAGGACTTCCCTGGTGGCAGAGTGCTTAAGAATCCGCCTGCCAATGCAGGGGACATGGGTTCGAGCCCTGGTCCGGGAAGATCCCACCTGCCGCAGAGCAACTGAGACCGTGCGCCACAACCACGGAGCCTGCGCTCTAGAGCCCACGAGCCACAACTACTGAGCGCGCGGGCCTAGAGCCTGTGCTCCGCAACAAGAGAAGCCACCGCAATGAGAAGCCTGCGCACCGCAACAAAGGGTAGCCCCCGCTCGCCGCAACTAGAGAAACCCTGCGTGCAGCAACGAAGACCCAACGCAGCCAAAGAAAAAAAAAAGACAGTGTAATAGACAACCTGTCAGTAATGACCCACTTTGCGTCCTGTCCAACTAATGGGCATTTACTGAGCACCCATCTTCTGGGTAACAGGCCTGATGCCCAGTGTTGGAAATCTTCAGGGTAACAGGTGTGGTGCCCAGTGTTGGAACAGTGGAGAAGGGCTCATGGCCTCAGTGCTGAAACATCAGCTCCAGGAGGGCAGGGACTTCTTGTTGCCATTGTATTCCCAGCAGCTGGAACAGGCCAGGCATACAATAGGCGCTCAGTTATTATTTGTTGAATGAGTGACATCGATCAATCAATCAATAAATGCGTGATGGAGAGCCTCTGACTCATTTTTAAGACCTTGAGCAAGTCCGTTGACATCTCTCAGCAGCCTTTTCCCCATCTGTGAAGCCAGTGGTGTTTAATTCATATCGAGTTCCTGCCGAGCAGGAGTAAGTAACAACAATAATAAGTAAACTTATTGAGCACTGCTACGGACCAGGCAGTGTTGTAAAGAGCCCTAGGAGGTAGTAGTATTTTACCTCCACTTCATGGAAGAGGAAACTGAGGAGCAAAGAGGCAGGGAAGGCTCCTGGAGAAGGGGGATTTGATCAAGTTTTGGAGGAAAGACTGGGGCTGGGACTGAGCAAAGTGAAGAGGATCCACGGCACAGAGGGCAAGTCCCTGTCCAGGGTGTCTCTGAGCCGGGGTGGCTGCACACATAGGACCTACGTGGAACCCGTCAGCCTAACCCCGCCCCCCGCGTCTCCATGACAACAGCCTCCGCACATGCGCCTCAAGCACCGGCGCCTGGGCTGGCGGCTTGAGCCGAAGCCGGACGCAAGCAGGGCGGAAGCTGGCTCGGCGGGCTGGGCGGCGGGATCGCTGGGCGGGCTTTTAAAGGCGCGGTCTCCACCCGGGCCCATTCGCCCGCGGGGACTGCTGATGGTGACGGCTGGGTGGGCTTGGGAGTCAGGATCCAGGAGGCAGAGGAGAAGCAGGTCTGTGTGACTCCCCCACCCCCCGGAGGTGACAAGGGAGCTAGGGACTGTGTAAATGCCCTCTGGGGCAATAATGGGATGGCTGTCCCCCAGGGAGCAATACGGAGGAGAAAGGACTATGGTTTTGCACCTTCTGGGTGATAAGAGGGGGACGGGGGTGCGTAACACCTCAGGATGTTGAAAGGGAGCTTGGATTCCAAAAATGTTAGTCGTAATAATGAGAAGGGTGGGGCTCCATAGTTGCTCCATCCTCCAAGGAGGGAGCTGGGGCTCCAGGGGAGAGTCTGAGGGCAGGTTAAGAGGCCTCACAGGTACAGCTTAGAACAGTTACCCTCTCCCATCCCCTACTCTCAGCATTCTGCCATCTCCCCTCCCCGTCAGGTTGCCCAGCCATGGCCAGACTACCTGCCCCAGGCTCAGTGATTGTCCCAGACTGGCACGAGAGCGCCGAGGGCAAGGAGTACCTGGCCTGTATCCTGCGCAAGAACCGCCGGCGGGTGTTTGGTAAGTGCCCCCCTCCCCCAGCCTGTCACCTGCCACTCCCTGGGGAGAACAGTGTCCCCTGTGGTGGGGGGCGTGGAGCAGAGAAGCAGGGCAGTGAGGGCCTTCTCCACTGCACTCCTCAACCTTGGGGACCCCAGAAGCCCTATCCTGGGGTCCCCACCCCCAAACCTCCTTAGCGTTAATTCTGTCATCAGAGCCATGGAAACAGCCAAAACCCTGCCAGGAACCACTGTCACCAGAGAGGCTGTTGATTGAGGCCTCAGCTGGTGGCAGGCCCTCTGCTGGGCACTTTATACAATGGACTCCAATTTAACCTTCTCAACAGCACGTTGCAGACTTGTCCAAGATCCCCTAGTGAGTAGAGACAAGCCTCTTCCATATCCTGCTGTCTCCAGGATAAGACACTCATGTTCCCCAGGATAAAGCTAACTCACCCAGGCAAGGTCAGCTGACAGGCCAGCAGAGGGGCCTGGCATCGGCTGCAGGAGTCCAGCTCTGGCCGGGAGAGACAAAACACCAGAAGGCTTAAGACCAGAGAGTGACAGGCAGCCCACAATTTAGGACTTTCAGGTCCTACACCTATAGATGGATCATAGTTTAGACTTTATTTTTTGCAAGCTTTAAATCAAAAACATTCAGGGCGGTCCAGTGGTTAGGACTTGGCACTTTCACTTCTGTGGGCCTGGGTTCAGTCTCTGGTCAGGGAACTAAGATCCCACACGCTGCAAGGTGGGATCAAAAAAAAAAAAGAATAAATAAATAAACATTCATAAATATCTCTCTGTATTGGTTCTAAGGAGTTTATATTAATTAAGAATACTTTTGCTGATATTTCTTCACTGAGGAGAGAATTAGGAAAAACCTTTCTTTTACCTGTGGGAAATCTAGGATATGTGATAGTATTAATAAAAACCATCTCAGGGAATTCCCTGGTTGTCCAGTGGTTAGGACTCAGTGCTTTCACTGCCGGGTCCTGTGTTCGATCCCTGGTTGGGGAACTAAGATCCCGCAAGCCGTGTGGTGCGGCAAAAAATAAAATAAAATAATAAAAATCATCTCATGCATCAAACTTTTTTGAAAAATGGTGTTATTTGGAGTAGGCACTGGCCCAGTTCACAGAGCACAGGTGTTCCCAGCAGAGCTTCTCCTCCGGGGATGCTGCTTGTATCCCAGGCCTCTGTCATGAGTGCTGTATAGGGAATGGTTGGTTGGCACTGAAGAAGCCCTGAGAGATGAGGTTGTACACCCAAGGTATGACGGGCAAGTGCACGTTGACTCCCTGACCCCACCTGGATCCCTCCTTGCCCCAGGGCTGCTCGAGCGACCAGTGCTTTCCCCGCCTGTGGCCATTGACACCGCCTGCTACAAGATCTTTGTGTCTGGGAAGAGTGGTGTGGGCAAGACAGCACTGGTGGCCAAGCTGGCTGGCCTGGAGGTGCCCGTGGTGCACCACGAGACCACTGGTGAGTCCCTCCTTAGGAGGCCTTCCTTGGGGTGGAGAAAAGACTGGCCCTGGACCACATAAGCTGGGATTTGTAACCAGCCTTACCATTTACTCTGCAACCTTGGAAAGTCACTTCACCTCTCTGAGCCTACATTCGCTCCTTTGTCCAAAAGGGATAATAGTACCAACCCCTTGGGGTTGTGGTGGGGTTGGTACTAGCGATAGTGGTGGTAACATGCCTAGCACTGAGCTGGCACAGGGTAGGTGCTCAGAAAACACCGATCTTCCTTTCTTGTTTCCTTCCACCGGATGCTGATTGACCATCATGTTGCAATATCTGAGAGTATTCCGGGACCTTTGGCTTCCCCAGTGCACAAGAGGAAACTACTTGGTCATGGCTAGGGCTAGGGCTGCCTCTCCCTGGTAGACTGGAGGCTCCTCCGGGGCAGGGCAGTTTCCCCCGTCGGACTGAGAATTCTCCCACGTCAGGGACTATGCCTTCCCCATCAGACTGAGGACCCATTAAGGTAGGGACATATCTCCTCTTCCTGTTCCTTCTGGGCCCCCTACTCCTCTCCACCTCCGCCTCCCCCATGCTGAGTGACTGACCCCCGCCTCCCCAGGCATCCAGACCACCGTGGTATTTTGGCCGGCCAAGCTGCAGGCCAGCGACCGTGTTGTCATGTTCCGCTTTGAGTTCTGGGACTGCGGGGAGTCTGCGCTCAGAAAGTTTGATCACATGCTGCCGGTGAGCAGGAAGGTGGGCCTGGGTGGGTCCAGGAGGGGCTGGTTGCCCGAGGTGGGCTTCTGAGTACAGGCATCTGAGCCTGGCCTGCCTGGTCTGCAGGAGCCAGAAGTAGGCGTGAATGGACTGAGGATGCTGCCCGGGCTGGGAGACCTCTGCCCTGGGACCAGCCACTCCCTGCTCTGGGCCGCAGTTTCCCAGTCTGTGAAAGGAGGGATGGTGCTGAGACTTCTCAGGGCCCTGCAGCCGATAGGTTCTGGTTACAAGCCTCGCCTGAGCCGCTAATTAGCCTCTCTATCCCCAGGCTTGCCAGGAGAAAACAGATGCTTTCCTCTTCCTCTTCTCCTTCACCGACCGTGCCTCCTTTGAAGACCTCCCTGGACAGCTGGCCCGAGTAGCAGGCGAGGCCCCTGGTGTGGTCAGGATGGTCATCGGCTCCAAGTATCCTTTGGGCGGCCTCTAGGACCGTCAGAGGCCACACTTGGCAAGGCACGGAGCAAGGGTGTCAGGCAGCCTGCCTCTGCCCAGCTATGGGGTCCAGCCCCATGGGCTTTATCTTAAAGGCTGCAACAGGGCCTCCCCCAGACTCTGGGTGTTGGGGGCAAGGGAGGAGGGAGAAGGCTGGGTTTCATGGAGTGGTAAGCAGAGGTGCCCGGACAGGCTCCTTGACTGTCCTCCAGATTTGACCAGTATATGCACACGGATGTGCCTGAGCGTGACCTCACAGCCTTCCGGCAGGCCTGGGAGCTGCCCCTCCTGCGGGTGAAGAGTGTGCCAGGGCGACGGCTGGCAGATGGACGCACGCTGGATGGGCGGGCTGGGCTGGCCGACATTGCCCATGTGCTCAACGGCCTGGCAGAGCAGTTGTGGCACCAGGACCAGGTGGCAGCTGGCCTGCTCCCCAACCCCCCAGAGGAACCCCCCAGCTGAGGGGTGGTGGCATGATGAGTGGGCACTCCCCACCCTCAGGTGACCCAGAGCAGGACCCAGGGCCCAAGGCTGGGACAGGAATATTGATCTCATCCCGAGGACTGGCCAGAGGGTCCTAGTCAGGGAGAATGGTGGCCCGAGAAGGCTCCCGGCCCCAGAGCACTTTCCTTGTGGAATTCTTGGCAGTGAAGTGGGGCACAATGCTCGGTAGGGCAGCCATCTGAGGGCATCTGGCTGTCCACTGGCCTCCTCCCTCTGCCCTAGGAGTCTGGGTTTCTGGAAACGGAGGAACTGTATGCACAAGGCCTGAGGGCTCAAGCATCTCCCCAGCCTCCCCCTGCCCTTCCCCCTTCTGCAGCAACCATGGAGTGTGACTGGGGAGAGGGGGTGCCTCAGCTGGGCCCTGGACCTCAAGTGACTTCAGTCAGAGCCTGTACATGTTAGTTGAAGTAACACCATCTGCTGTACCAGGTAAACCCTGAACTCTCAGTGGCTTAACTTAATAGAAGTTTTTTTCTTTCTGTGTCTCACCTCAGGTGGAGGTGAAGGTGGGTGCGGACCCAGTTTGTCCTGGGGCATCAACATCTAGTCAGCAGATGGGATGAGTGCAGGTGGAAGGTCCCCCAGCAGGTTTCTATGGACCTGGCCTAGGACAGTGTGCCTCATTTCTGCCCACATTCCATTGGCCAGCACCTAGTCACGTGGTCACACAGAGCAGCAGGGAAAGTTGGGAAATGTAGTCCACCTGTGTGTCCAGGAGGCAAGCACCTCACTCTGGAATTCCTTTTTTTGACCATGAAGCTATGCTTAGGACAGGGGCCCTGCCAGCCTGGGGGAACCAGAAAGTATCACTGGGCAGGGACTGGGCCAGGTAGGGGGTCAGGGCGTGAGCTGGCAGGAGGCCAGCAAGGACAGGAGCAGGAAGGTGAGTGACCTTGTGTCCTTGCCCCATCAGCCAGACACTAGTGAATGCGGGCTAGAGTTGTAGGCATCTGCCCGCAGGTGCCTACAAAGCCGGCCTTTATACTTTCTTTCCCTCCCCGGTGACACCCTCTCCAGTCCCATAGATGGACCCCTGGGCAGAAAGCCGGCCTGAGTCTGACCCAGCTGGAAGGGCCCTGGATGCCCAGGTCAGCCAGCCGACCCTCAGAGTCCCCTCTCGAGAAAGCAGCTCTGAACACTCCACACTCACACGCATGATCATGTGCCCACACACACCAGTACTTGCCCTAAAATGCTGCCCCGCTTCTCCCTCCTGGCACACACAGGAGGCTCCTGCATGCTCTCCCTGGCTTACGCTCCTACGCTTACTGATGGCCTGCATGGCGCTGCTTGTCAGTCTGTCCACCCTGTGCACTGCCTGTAGGTTTGTCAACCTTTCCAGAGCCTAAAGCATGGATTTTAGCACCTTCTTACCCCCAACTCAGGTTCAGAGCTGAGACCTGAGATTAGCCCATGTCCCAGAGGAGGAATGTTGCTGGGCAGGACCCAGGCCTCACAGCCTGCACAGCCCACCGGCCGACTCCTGCTCCCGCGCCGCAGTGTCCCACTGCTGCCTTCAGCTCTGCTTTGGCCCATTTCCCTCTGGTCTTAGCTCCAGTAGACCTCACCCACCAGGCAGAGCAAGGCAGGACCCAGCAAAGGTGGCCTCTGGGCTGGAATGTGGCCTTCCAGCTATGGATACCCGTGTGTGTTGTGGGCACCAGCTACCCCACATCCCAGCCAGTTATCTCAGGCCTTAAAGCTTCAGCATCCTTCTTGGGCACCAGCTCAGCCAAGAGCCAGAGGCTGCTCTGGAGCAGTAACCTAGATCCTCCCCACAGCAGAGCAGGGCACTGGTTGGCACTGGTTAGCACTGCTCCAGTCAGAGAATCGACCCCTCACACACTTTCATCCCAAACCAAGAGGTAAACAATTCCCTTCTCCCTGAGTAAGAACAAAGTGGGGACCACGACGGTGCTAAGACTTGGAGCCGGCCACCTGCCGTCCCAGTGCTGCCTTCTGAGCCCCTCAGAGCCCAGGCCCAGTGCCACTTTAGTATTTCATAGGCTACCCCCTTAGAGGCCTCCACCGAAGTGCAGAGAACTGGAAGCACGAGGGAGGAGGGAGCTGCAGAGCCATAATTCTCCTAATAGCTGGTGGCTGTCCCCGCAGAGTGGACTCTGGGCAGGGTCGAGGAGAGCGAATGAGAAGAGAATGTGTGTGCACACACACACACGGACTCAGGCCGGCTTTGTGGGCCTGGCACCTGAGCAGTCCACAGGGCTCTGCACTGGGGGGCCCACACCTGGTTTAGTGCTCTGCTGTTGCCATCTTGAAATCCTTAATAATTTTTCAATAGTTTTCCACTGGACACCACCAATCACGTGGTAGGTCCTGCACAGGAGAGGGTCCAGACTCCAGATAAAGTTCCTCTCTCAGGACCTTGGAGACAGAGGCCATTCTGTGGCCTGTCCGGAGGCCACCGGAAGTCGGGGAGTTGCCTTCTCCCCATTTTGGTGCCAGAAATTCCACCGTTAGGTTAAGCCTTACAACAGCTCAAAGGCAAATACCCTGCTGCTCCCTTTGTGGGCCCTGAGGCTACCTGGAGGGAAGGGGTGGTGACTGTGCCCCCAGGCTGGTTCAGGGGTGAGCCCTGACTTAGAGGGGATCCTTGGGAAGAGGGTAGCCATGTTTGCTCCTCCGGGCCCTGGAGCCCACAGACTTCAGGGCTCTAGAGGGAAGCTGGAGGGAGGAGGGACTAGCTTCTCCAGGGGTGGGGGTGTGTACGTGCTGCAGCCCAGCCCTGGTGCTGTTTGTCAGGACATCCCAGACCCCTCTTCTTCCCTCCCCAAGCCCCTTTCCTACAGAGGGGGAGTGCTATGGACCGAATGGTTGTGTCCCCCCAAGATGCGTACACTGAAAACCTAGTCCACAGTGTAATGGTATTAGGGGCCTTTGGGAGCGGATTCGGTCATGAGGACAGAGCCCTCATGAATGGGATTAGTGCTCTAATAAGAGGGACCCCACAGAGCTGCCTAGCCCCTTCCACCATCTGAGGACACAGAGAAAAAGTGCTGGCTGTGAACAAGGAAGAGGGCGCTCTCCAGAACTGGGCTGTGATGATGACTTACTTATTCTTGGACTCCCAGCCTCCAGAGCCATGCGAAATAAATTTCTGTTGTTCATAAGCTACCCGGTTTGTGGTTTTTTGTTATAGCCGTCCAATGGACTAAGATAGGGAGGCTGAGGCCAGAGAGGGTCAGGCGTTTCTCCAAGGTTGCAGAGCCATGGAGCAGCCCTGATGCCCTTAGCCTTCCGTACCCCTCTCCCCTGGACTGTCCCTTCCCCTCATCCCCCAATGGTGTCTTCTGGGTCCAGCCCCTCACATGATCCCACCTGGTCTTGCTTTTCCAACCAGAAGCCTGGGGCTGCCTGTAGGAGGGGAAATACGGTACTGGTGCCTCGCTCCCTCCTCCCTCTCCTCTTTCTCTCCTTCCCCCATCCTTCCCAGGCCACAGTGAGCTGGTAAGTGAAGCTCCTGCCTGCTGCCAGCCACCAGCCAAGCCTGGCCTTGTGGACAACAAGGAGAACCCCAGGCAAGTTGCCTGCACCCAGGATGAGGAAGGGGATGCAGGAGCCAGATCTGCAAAGGCTGCTGGGCAGGCCTCCAGAGCCTTGGGTGAGTCCAGAATGGGGGTGGGACTCCCTGGTGCTGCCCTGGATCTCCTTACTCCCAGGGCAGCCTGGTGCCAGCCATGACACCACCCCCAGCCTCCACCCTGTGCCATGAAACAGACTTGGGGGAGCAGTGCCCAGAGGGTGGCATGGGGCTCAGGGCCCAAGACAAGTCAGAGCTGTGTGGAGGCAAATCCCCAGAGGCCCAAGCTGGGAGTAAGGGGGTGGGGGGTGGGGGGGCCCCTCCCTCCCTGTGACCTCAGACCTGGAGGCTGGGCCAGTGGGGGTGAGGTGAAGTGGGGAGAGTTGGTGTTCAATTCTATTCTAGAAAGAAGGGGTGTTTCCTAGGAGCAAAGGGGACGACTGAGGCTTGGGACCGTGGTCCGGAAGGAAGGTGAAGAGCTGTGACCTTGGATTGGTCACTGTAATTCCTTTGTGTCATCTGTAAAATGGAGATAACAAGAGCACCCGCTCACTTCTGGGTTGTAACAAGTAAATGCGTGTAAAATATTTAGCACTGGGCCAGGCACTGAATTAAGGGCCCAGCAAATGTTGGCTACTGACTTTGTCGCTGTTGTTACTTATGGTAGTGGTGGTGTTTCTGGGGCTGAGAGCGAGTGGAGAGGAGGGAGAAGGGTCGCAGATCGCGCCGACAGCGCCTCCATTGTTGCGCTTTATATTTAGCCAGTGGTGGGCGGGCGGGTGGGCGGAAGGAGGGGCGGCCCAGCTGGGCTGGTGGAGAAGTTTCTGGCACCTGCACCTGCGCCGGGGTCCTCTCACCCGCACTCCGGTCCTGTTGCGCCCAGGACGGCGATGGTGCCGAGGACAAGGACCGGAGGACGACCGTCTCTGCGCGTCCCGCGGCAGCATTTGTGGCCCAGACTCCGGGGGCAACATTTTCCGCGACTGGAAAACCGAAATCGGTGAGACTGGGGCCAGACAGGACTCTTACCCCCACTTCACCGCTTCACTCAGGCAGCCAGAGTAGCCCACCCACAGTCCCCCTCTTACAGTGAGGAAAGAGAGGTCTTACCTCCGCGAGGAATCCCGTGGCATCTCTGGTCCTTTTCTTGCAATGGGCAGTTCCTCCTTTGAGCTAAGCCCAGTCGCTCTTGCTGTGGCGCGAACTTCCCTTTTTTTTTTTTTAATTTATTTATTTGGCTGTGCCGGGTCTTAGTTGTGACACGCGGACCTTCGTTGTCTCCTGCGGGACCTTTCGTTGCGACGCGCGGTATCGAACCCGCGCCGCCTCATTGGGAGCGCGGAGTCTTAACCACTGACCGCTAGGGAAGTCCGACGAACTATTTCCTTTAATTTGGGCTTTAGTGGGACTGATAAACCCAGCCCCCAACTCCCCACCCAGGGTGGAAGTGGGGTAGGGTGGGGCAGACCGTTCCTAACTGCCCTTCTGCCCCCGCGATGGGACAGACTTCCTGCTCGTGAGGGAGGAGAAGCTGCGACCCCCGCGGCGGGCGTGGTGACAGCGACTCCTGCAGCGGAGCTGGCGTGAATAAGTTCCAGAGGAACCTGCGCGCGGCCGGGCAGCTCCTGGAGGAGGTGAGCGCAGCGGGGACGGGCTGCGCGGGCTCAGTCCCCGAGGCCGAGCACGGGCTTCCCTAACGAGCCCTGTGACCTGCGCAAGCGACTTCAGTACCTCATCTGTAAAATGGGCTTTACCGTAGCGTCAGCCCCATAGAGGGGCTGTGATGATTAAACTGGCGAGCGTGCAAAGCTCTCAGCCCAGGGCCTGCTCATTGGAGGTGCTCAATAAATGGGAACCAGCAGCCACTACTGTATGACCCCGGCCTAGTCAGCGTCTGCGTCTGTCTCCACGTTTGTAAAATGAGGGTGCTAGTTCCCCCCTCGTTTGAATTTCAAACGAGGAAACGCAAATCAAAGCGCTTTTGAAGGTGGCCAAGGGCCCGCGCGCGCAGAACGGGAACTGTCACTCCCAGGCGGGATCATGAGAGGAGGGGCTCCGGGCTCTGGCCCATCCGGAGACCCCGGCCCCCCAAGGAGTAGTGTCTCGCCAAGCGCCGCGCCCTCGCCGTGTACTTCGCCAAGCTGTGCGCCCTGGGAGCTGCTGGCAGAGGAACTGAGCCAGCGTGTGCCGCTGTAGGTGGGAGGGACGAGCCGGGGCGAGGTCAGCCCGGGGGCGGAGTCTTCCCAGGTACCGGTGACCCTGCCCTAGTCCTGCAGGCCCGACGTAACCCGGACTCGGACGGCAGGGTGGGGGGAGCTACTGCGGCGCCTTCGCCTGCTGCAACCTCTGCAGCAACACGTGCCCAATAAGCCACTGGACTTTCCGCCGCTCCAAGCTGGACTTGTCTCGGGTGGGCGGGGCCTCCCGCAGAGGGGAGGGGCGCCAGCCGCAGGCTTAGCCAAATCGAGGCTCCATTGCTCCTCCTTGCTTTGCCAGAGAGGCAACTCCTGCTTAACTCACTTTAGGTCTCAGGCTTGTCCCTTCCGCAGCCTAGGGTTCAGGCCGTGCCCAAGCGGCTCCCCGTCCCTGATTCCCACGCGTTCAATGCCCCTCAGATGCTCACCTGGCTGCAAAACACCCAGCCCAGGCTGAGCTTTGTGGGGAGAAGGGCTCTCTGGTTTTAGCAGCTGGCACATTTTTTTAAAATAAATTTATTTTTGGCTGCGATGGGTCTTCGTTGCTGCACGCGGGCTTTCTCTAGCAGCCGCCAGTGGGGGCTACTCTCCGTTGCGGTGCGCGGGCTTCTCGTTGGGGTGGCTTCTTTTGTTGCGGAGCACGGGCTCTAGGCGCGCGGGCTTCAGTAGTTGTGGCTCGCGGGCTCAGTAGATGTGGCTCGCGGGCTCTAGAGCGCAGGCTCAGTAGTTGTGGCGCACGGGCTTAGTTGCTCCATGGCACGTGGGATCTTCCCCAGCCAGGGATCCAACCCGTGTCCCGTGCATTAGGCAGGTGGATTCTTAACCACTGTGCCACCAGGGAAGTCCAGCTGGCACGTTTTATCCCTGTGTCCCCAGCCTAGAGACTGCCCTCCCATCGTGTTAGTTCTCGCATTCGGCGGAGGGTTCAGCTTCTGACCCCTGCTCTGCTCACAGATTCCTGGGCAGGGCTTCCCATGACTCCTACTTCTCCAGTACCCAGAGGCACCAAGTGGTGAGACAACTGCCTGGGGAGGGTCCAGCTGGGACCTTATGGGGGCGGAGTTGATGCCAGAATTCTTTCTGACAGGTGGCAGAGATCCTGGCCCGAACAATCTATGGGAAAGAGAAACGTGCGGAGATGGTCATGGCCCGTCTGCTGACCGAGGGAGTCTACACTGCAGCCTTCCCACTGCGTGAGGTAGAGATGACACAAACCCAGCTTTCTTCCACTGCAGGGGCATCAGGAGAAAATTCTGGGACTTCCCTGCAGCCCTCCTGCCTTTCCTCTCCCTAGGGCCCCTGTGATCTGCCCGGGTACCAGGTGCCTGGTGCAGACCTCAACCCTCGACAATTGCTCTATTCATACTGGGCCTGCTGGGGGTGCTGGCAAAAGTACCAGCCCCTGCACCACATACAGGAGGACTTTGGGGACAAGGCAGCTATCTACTTTGCCTGGTTGGTGCATCTGGTGTTGGGGGTGAGGGCTGGGAGATGGGGTTGAGTACAGAGATGGAGGCTCATGAGCATTCCGTCCCCCCACATTCTGTCACCTACACAGCCTGGTTGCTGCTCTTGTGGGTACCCTGGTCTTTACCTCTGGCCTAGTTACCATGGGCACAAATGTACCAGCGTGATGACTGGGAGTGCTGGGGGGATGCGCTGCATGGGCTGGGTCAGCTGGCTGGTTGAGGATAGGCCCTCCCAGGATGGGGTACCCTTTGCTCACAGGGAGGAGATCTGTGTGGGCAGGAGTTCCTTCCTCACGCGCTCACTCTGTGATACTTGTGCCACATGGAATAGTTCTGAGATCTGCCCCGTGGCCAAGGTGAGCCAGGGGAGAGAGCAAGGGAATGGGTAGGTGTTTGGGACCCAGCACCTTGGGCCAGCTGCTGGGAAGGCAGTGTGCCCTCTCTCCCTCCTTTGCAGCTGGGCTATCTCCTTGACCGCCTGGGAACTGTGTTCTTTAGCATCTTCATGTGCTTCTGGGCCACGGCCTTCCTGGAGCACTGGAGTAGCACCTTGGCCCACCACTGGGACTGCAGTGACTTCCAGGAAGAGGAGGTGACGCCCAGCTCAGCCCTCCAGGCCCAGAACTCTGCTTCCTGCGGTTCTCAGAGGCCATAAGGCATGCTGGGAACAGCTTGGACTCTGGAGTCCAGCATCCCAGGATCCAGATCTGACTCTTCCCTACAATTTTCCTGGGTCACTTTCCCACCCTCCCCTGACATCAGGATGATATAAGGTTTGGTGAAGTTAAATACTAGAGGCATTTAGAGGCTCAAAGAGAAACTCTTCCTGAAACAGGGAAGAAGGAGAGAAGCGTTCCACTCACCTACCCATCTAGCCATCCACCTGTCCATCCAAACATCTAATCATTGATCCTGAATCTGTTTGCTTTTCTCCGTCTCCACTGCCACCCTCAC